TGATGAAAGTGAACTATGCAACTTGTGGGTGGAGATGGGAGAGAGGGAATGAGAGAGAATGAGGGAATAGATGACACTATGAGAAAGGAAATGTATTTATTACCTGACATATGCTGTATGTCACTTCTAAAACAACAATAAAGTAATTTTTTTAAAAAAAGAATGATAGAGGGGGTGAGATTGACTGGAACAGAATGTAAGCATGTCAAAATGTGACAATGAGCTTCCCCACTCCCACCTTGTATAACTAATATAAGCTAATTTAAAAAAAGATGTTCAAGATTGAGATGTCTGCAGTGTTCCTTCCTTCTGAGGCCTCTCATTGGCATGCCAATTGACATTTTTTCCTCTGTCTTTGTATTCCTTTTGTATCTGTGTCCAAATTTTCTTCTCTTACAAGAGCATTCATCATATTGGGTTAGGCCCCACCCTCAGTGATCTCCTTTTAACCCATATATCTCTTTTAAGGCCATATTCTGAGGTACCAGGGGTTAGGACTTCATGTGTGAATTTTGGGAGGATTTAATAGGCTCATAACAGTTTTTTTTTTGGGGGGGGGCGGGCTGAACTCTGGGCCTGGGCGCTGTCCTTCAGCTCTTCAGCTCAAGGCTAGCACTCTACCACTTGAGCCACAGCGCCACTTCTGGCTTTTTTTCTTTTTGCTTATGTGGTGCTGAGGAACGAACCCAGGGCCTCATGCATGGAAGGCAAGTGCTCTACCACTGAGCCACCTTCCCAGCCCATAACAAGTTATTTTAAACAGGAAGTTTATCCATATCTGAGAGGGTAAGTAATTACAAGCATGGAGCTTTAGAGGAGAAACCAAAGAATTTAGTATGCAAGCCATAAAATGCAAATGAATTTGCAGAGAATGAGCTGAACTTTTGTTTAAAATGATTAATGGCCTCTTTGAAGGTGAGTAATACATTACTGTTAATTATATTTGAAAGATGTGATAGATGATGCCTGATGTCTATATCATTCTTAAGTTCATCTCTCACTTCATGTTGGGGCCATACTAAATTTATAACCTCTATTTCAATTGAGATCCTCATTTCAGGGGTAGAGGAAGGAAGACTTTTTTTCTGGTTAAGATCTTAAAAGTATGGATAGAATCACGCTAATGAGATCATCTTTGCAATACTCTTATGAACATGATCGTGCTTTAGTATGACCTATGAAAGAAAATAGGGAGTTATATATCTTTAATAATTCCTATATAACCAAGGCTGATAAAATATATAATATTCTAATCTGTGATTCAAGATGACCTGGGCTTTAGTTCCTTTGTTTGCATAAAAATCGGCCTAACTGGGTCAATCTATTTTCCGCCTTCAGATCACAATTGTTCTACCTTCACAATATGAATGCATAGAATCTTTTTAGATTCATGTATTTATTCCAAGACATTAAAACATAAAAAATGAAGTCAAACTTGTCCGACAACTCATAAATTCTTTCATCTTTAATGTATAACCCAGAAACATTGTACTAAATTGGAAATAAGTTGGGAAGGGAGAAATAGAAGAGAGATACATATAGATTTGTGGACCATAGACTGAGTCCAGTCCCAGGAGAGTGAATGCATAGATTTTGACAATGAGGTCACAAAAGCAGTCATAAGGAATTATAGTCCTAAACTATGTTATGCTTCACAGAAGATAGGTTTTTCGGGTCCCAGCCAATGTTTATATCACTAACAGTAATAATAATCATTACAAAAATAACACAGTGATATTGGGTGCCAGACACTTTGCTATGATACTTACAAACATCATCTTACTCATGTTTAAAATAACCATAGAATGTAAGTCTCATTTCTATTCCACAGAGAGGACAGCAAAATTTAGGTTATACATGTTAAGTGGCAAAGTCGACTTGTTCCCATACAGATCTGATACTAAAAGGTATTTGCTTATTTGGTACTGTTATAATTTTCTTAACAGGGCATAGAGATTGAAAGCTATAAGGCACTGTACTCACTTCCTAGACAGTGGTGACAATAACCACCAACCAGATAGGTTAAAATGAGAGAAATTTATTCTCTCAAAGTTCTATTGGCTGGAAGACTGATACAAGTTGGAGGCAGAGCTATGCTCTTACTGAAGGCTCTTTTCTTGCCTCTTCCTAGCTTCTGGTGGTTGTTGGCAATCCTTAATGTTCCTTTCTTTGTGGGACCATATCTCTGCCTCCATGTTCACATGGCTGTCTTCACCAGGTGCTGGTAGCTCACACCTGTAATCCTAGCTACCCAGGAGGCTGAGATCTGAGGATCATGGTTCAAAGCCAGCCCAGGCAGCAAAGTCAGTGAGATTCTTATCTCCAGTTAACCACCAGAAAACCGAAAGTGGTGCTGTGGCTCAAGTAGTAGAGTGCTAGCCTGAGCTGAAGAGCTAAGGGACAGCACCTAGGCCCAGAGTTCAAGCCCCACAACTGACAAAAAAAAAGACATGGCTGTCTTCTCTCTGTATCTGTATATTCAAATTTTCTTCTTTTTATAGGAATACCAACTACTGCATTAGGGCTCAGTCTAATCTAGTATGACATTATAGTAACTTGAGTCTATCAGAAAAGATCTATTTCCAAGTAAGGATACATTCAAGTTCCAGATGAACATGCATTTTGGTAGGGAACTATTCAACCCAGCATAGGAGCTACTAGATTGATAAGAAATGGAAACTTTTTGCAGTATGTTTCACTGTAGAGTTCTTAAACTTTTGAGATGAATGGGATTTGAGGTTTCCATTTCTTTGGTATGTTTTCTTTGCCTATGGCAAACAACATTCCTGCTAACAGTTATGTAATTTTTTTATACTTTAGTAGTTCTGTGTAGTTTGAAGCAAGTCAGAGATTCAAAGGGTTAGTAGGGAGGTGAGATATTCATTAGTCTGTTGGCCTGTTTTGAGAAAAGGCTCAGTGATTTATCACAGATAGTTGGGGGAGGGCAGGGGGAGGATGGGAAGGGATGGGAAGGGGAAACAAAGGAGGAGGCTACAATGCTTGATAAGAAATGTACTCATTATCTTGCCCATGTAATTGTAACCCCTCTGTACAGTATTTTCACAATAAAAAAAAGAATACCAACATACAAAAAATGTAACAACTGAGTTAGGTGTGTTAGTTCACACCTATAATTCCAGCACTTGGAAAGCTGAGACAGAAGGATTACAAGTTCAAAGTCAGCTTGAGATACAAAAAAAAAGAGGGGAAAAACAGTAACAACCGAGATTGTTTCTTCTTAACACTTAAAAAGCAAACTACTGCATATTTAGATTAGTTTACATGAAATCTATACGATTTTATTAAACTAGCCTCATTTGATAGAAATTGAGGTCCAGAGAAGTTGAGATGCTTTCCAAAGTCAAAGAGCTAGCAAACGACAGGGCTATAACTGCAAGCTAAATACTCTGCCTCCCAAATCCTATGTTTTCCCCATTATACATCATTGCAAAATGAATAGGCAAAATCTGCTCTTATTCTACATCATGTTGATGAATTTAAGAACTATTGAGGAAAGAAGTACTTGGAACTCCTAGAATCCTAGAGACAATAACAATCATATTTTTCTGTAATGATTGCTTAGAGAACCCGAATGCCAAATTAATATTACCAGGGAGGTATTGAATTGAGTTGGGCTTACAAATGACCCTACACACTAGGGTAGCTAAGTTTATTGGTAACAGGCAGAAACTTTGGACACTGGGGGAAAAACAACTTAGTTTTAAGTTTCTGAGTAAAGATTCAGCTAAGCAAACCACAAGCCACATATTGAAGAGGAAAAAACAAATGTAGATTTGGTTGAGATTATGGGCTTTGAGGGTTTAAATACTGATGCTCACTAACACTCACTAGGACAAGTTATTTTACCTCTTTAAATTACAATTTCCTTCTCTATAATGTAGACATGTACATTGCTATGTTGGTGTAAATATTAAAGGGTGGGACACACACACACACACACACACACACACACACAGAGGCAACTTAGAAATGTACCCAACACAACAAATTTCAGTTTCCAATAATATTAGAATACTATTGTCATTATTCCTTTTGAGTCATGTATCATCTTAACCCCCATCCAATTTGTCTTGAATGTTTATTGTGGAAAATATTTATAATTATTAAAGATTTGCATACAGAAAATAGGTTCTGACCTTAAGAAGCCATTCATAGAACAAGAGGCAATGTAAAAACTGCCATAATGCAATAACAATAGAAAATGTTCACTGAGTCGCCATGATGTACTATGCCCACCTAGGTTCCAAGTGCTTGATGTAATTAACTTAGTTTTTCATAACAGTTCTGTGAAATAGGTGGTATTATTATTTTCTATATACAAATAAATTGAGAACAGGAGTAAAATGATTTGTCAGGAAGTAGCAGAGCCTAGATTGGAACACAGACAAACTAGCTCCTATGGTTCTATAGTCTCCCCATCATACTGCTGTTACCTCTGTAGCCAAGGCATCTTTAAATGAAAAGTTGTAAACTGAAACTTTAAATCATTACACTACAAATTCTCAATGGTTTTATATTTTAACAATCGATTCCCATGAAATAAGGATTTAAAGTGACAATAGAAAGTGACTATATGAATATTCCAGCTATTACTGATAAAAAAATCACATGACACTAATGGATAAGGCTCATGTTGACACTTTTGAAAACTTTTAGAAAGGCAGTTAAATTGCAAGTCATGTTGAAGAAGAGTATAGTACATACATAGGAACTATGATGGTGAAGGATTTAGGCTATGTGGCCTCCTGTGGGCTCTTACTCTATCCCTTTAATAGGGGATGGATTGGGGGGAAAGGCCAGGTACCTAGGACAACAGTGATGAAACAAGACAGCCCAGAGCCACTATGGCAGACATCACAGTTACTATAAATCTTGATCATTTCCCATCCTATCCAATAGTCAAAAGGTCCATTGAAAATATGTTCTCCTGAAAATATGTTTTCCGGAGTATGGTAAGTATGTTCACAACATACACTTACCTTTCTCTGCTGGGCTCATAACAGTAACTGTGAAAAGACAGAGAGAGAGAGAGAGAGAGAGAGAGAGAGATCAAAATTAGTAGTGTTTCTACCAGATAACTTGAGGGGTTTGGTGGGGCTGTGATAGATGAGTGGGGAGAGAATTACAAAAGTATAGGGCTGGGAAGGTGGCTCAGTGGTAGAGTGCATGCCTTCATGCCAGAGGCCCTGGGTTCAATTCCTCAGCACCACATAAGCAAAAAGAGAAAAGAAAAAAGCCGGAAGTGGCGCTGTGGCTCAAGTGGTAGAGCGCTAGCCTTGAGCTGAAGAGCTGAGGGACAGCACCCAGGCCCAGAGTTCAGGCCCCACAACCGGACCCCCCCCCAAAAAAAAGAGAATTACAAAAGTAGTAACATTGATCAAGATGCATTATAAATTAACACAGTGAATTGAAACTCCTTTGTACAACTGCTTAAAGATTAAAAACTAGAAAATTCAAAATATATTTTCAAATTCATTTTTCTACACCATGTTTTTTGACCAATTTAAACAATATGACTTTAGAAAATTACCAGCTTAAGATGAAGGAAGGCAAAGATGATGAAATTCCATCCAATGCTGCAGTTCTTCATCTTAAAACATCAGTAATTAAGAATTATCAATTATTCACCAAGCTGGTATAATCTAATATTTTAAAAAATAAATAGAAGCATAAAAGCTTATAACATGGCATTAAAAATGATCAATTAAAAGATGATTACAGAGCCAGGCAACAGTGGATCACACTTGTAATCCTAGCTACTCAGGAGGCTAAGATCTAAGGATTGTGGTTCAAACCCAGCCTGGGCAGAAAAGTCCCCATTAGACTCTTATCTCCAAATAATCACTCAGAAGCCAGAAGTGGATCTGTGGCTCAAAGTGGTAGAGCACTAACTTTGAGCCAAAGAGCTCAGGGACAATGCTCAAGCCCTGACTTCAAGCCCTACATCTGAAAAAAAAAACATATTATTTAAGTAAAAAAAAAAATCATTAAATCAAAAATGCACCTAACTTACTGACCACTTACATTAGCCTGCTATTGATCAAAAACATCTATAAATAGTCTATTTACAATCAAATGCTGAATATTTTTTTATTTTTATATATATTTTATTGTAAAAATACTGTACAGAGGGGTTATAGTTACATGAGTAAGATAATGAGTACATTTCCTATAGAGCATTGTTCCCCTCTCCTTTGTTTTACCCTTGCCATCCCTTCCCTCCCCACCTCCACAACTCCTCCCTCCCCATCCCATCCCCAAGTTGTAAAGTTCATTTTCAACATAGTGTCTTGTATATTGTTACAATGGTGTCAACCTGTATCCTTATTTCAGCATTTTGTTATTTCCCTTCCCCTCCCCAAATTAGAAAAATGTATATATGAGATGCAAGGCACCGGAATCAAATACGGTGAAAACAGGGGTTACACCATGGGGGAAGAACATACAAAAGAAAGAAAAAAATCACATAGTACATTATAAATACATTTAAAACAATCACAAGAAAGATAAAACCACTTGTGTCCCTATCTTGGGGTTCATTTCGCTTAGCATAATTGTATATGGTCACATGTACATTCAAATGCTGAACATTTCGTCTGATTTCTTGAATACTATTCTAAGAGTAGATAACAATGGATGCATGATTCTATCTTCACAGCATTATAATGTTGAAAAAATCTTATGTCGATTCATCTGTAATTTAGTTTCCCAAAGTGGTCACTGTGTGATAACTTTAAAGGCCAACGTCATTTGTCTATTTGGAAGTAATACAATGTGGATATTGTCAGACTATGTCAGAAATTCCCTTGCCCTGTTAGGTGATCCTAGACACATTCTTTGCTTCTCTAAAATTACCTGCCTCTTAATGTTACTTGAGAACTAATGGTGTTAATCTGTATGAATGCTGCTTCCCATAGTATTTAGCAAAAGGTAAGTGTCAAATGAATATTCATAGTTATTATCTGTGAATTATGAGTTCACATGATATCAGTAGAGAAACTTTAGTGACTGGTTTATCTCTATCCTTTCACAAAAGGAAGAAAATAACTGTAGTTATCAGATGATTTGCTAACCAGACATAGAGCAATTACAGTTGGGACCAGATTCTACATTCCTCAGATTTTTCCACATACTGTGTCTATTTGCCTCAATTATTTCTTGTTGGATTTTCATATATCACTTCTATTTAAAATGATATTTGTTCAAAATGAAGTCTACCCCTCTTTACTCACCACCATGACCATCTGTGTGCATTTGTACTAAATGTTAAGGTAAACAGGTCATATGACACAGACTTCAATGCTAAGAAGCTGACAAATTAAAGACTTTTCTACATAATGATAACAAATAAGGGTTAGGGAAATGGGAGAAATTCAAACAGAATGAGACAATTGTTCTAGGTGCTACTTCTTCATTGTCATAATATTCCCCTTTATATACAGGTCTAGTAACTTTTAAAAACAATTCTCATTTGTGGGGACAGAGATGGAAGGGGATTTTGGAAAATAGTAGAGGGGTGAATTTGATCAGTATATTATATACATCTATGGAAATATCACAATTCAACCCTTTTGTACAATTAATTTATGCTAATAAACATTATCTCTTAAATAATCATTTGAGTGGTCTGTTAAACTATTAAATTTTGCCTGTGCTAAAATATGACTAAATGATTTTTTTTCTAACACAACAGACTGGAGATTGATAACAAGTTCCTTTTTCCCAATTAAAGAATCTTGGTTAAGAATATATGAAAGAGGTGCATACTGTGACAATGGGAATGGAACTGTGAACAAGAAGCCTTGATGGGTCAACCTGAGACTTCATGATTTTGCACACACCTGGCTGCACTGATTCCACCAGACCTTGAATTGAGCTAATTACATCTCTTTAAAATGGAGTGGGAGAAAATAGAGTTTCTTAGAGACCAATAGACTATCTTTTCTTCTACCTCAGGCTGAACATTTCTAACTGATAACACAAAAACATAAAAGATGTACAGATTAATGGGGGACTATATAATGTTTGATATGTGTAAGCGTATAATATTTAAATCAGGTTGAATGCATTCATATTGTCTCTTCAGACAATACTTCTTATGTATTCATCCTAAACATTTGCTTTGAAATGTCTGACTTTCCATATGCTTGGCCACTTGCTCCAGCACTTTGGGTGAGGAAAGATCACCTTGTACTTGCAGATACTGTAATGAGACAACATGAATATGGAAGAAAAAGTGAGAACTAATATGTTCTCTATATAGGGGGTGAAGGGACAGTTCTCTTTTTTGTTTTTTCATTTCTTTTTTGCCAGTCCTGGGGCTTGAACTCAGGGCCTAAGTGCTGTCCCTGAGCCTCTCTGTGTTCAAGATAGTGCCCTACCACTTGAGCCACAGCACCACTTCTGGTTTTTTGAGTAGTTTGTTGGAGATAAATCTCATGGGAACTTTTCTCCTACGGTGGGTTTGAACCATGATTCTCAGATCTCAGACTCCTCAGTAGCTAGGATTACAGGTGTGAGCTAATGGTGCCCAGCTAGGGACAGCTATCTTTAATTAAATTCAACACCTTCAAGAATGACATTGATTTATATAATCCAAGAGCAGTGGGGAGACTAGAATGAATGTGTATAAGTTGTAGGATAACATATTTTAGCACTGAATAAGAAAAATTATGCAGGCTAACACCTATAATCATAGCTACCTAGGAGGCTAAGAATAGATGGATTATAGTTTGAGGTAGGCCTGGACACAGACATTCATAAGGCCACATGTGAACACATAGCTGGCACAGTGCTGCACATCTATCATTCTAAGTAAGCTATGTGGGAGGCTGATATCAGGAAGATGTACTCATTACCTGACTTATGAAACTGTAACCCCTCTGTACATCATCTTTATAATAATAAAAAATAAAAACTCATATACATCAGAAATATAAGGTGGAAATAAAATGGTATTCAAGGAATACATGTAATTATCCTACCTAAATATTTTTTTAATGACCATTAGCATTTGGAAGGCAGGAGTTTCCCATTACAAATACTCGGAAATGTTGTTAGATGCCATTCCGACATTAGTCTGGCAGTGGACTTGACGTTTAAAATCTTTCACCCCTGAAATTCAGCAAGATGTCAATAAGTCAAACATTTGCTTGTAAAATTTCCCACTTGAAGTTACATACTTCTGAGATGGAAAAGAACTCTATTCTAAATCATGGAAGTTATCTCAGTAGTTCTGCTTTTCCTCTCGTATTTCTAATATTGCTTTTTGCACTGTTAAAGGAAGAAGCAAAACTACTCAGTCATATTTAAAATGAAAATGTTAGGAGTCATACTAAATTTTTATGAAGTAAATTGCTTCCCAGAAATCTCTTGGGTAAGAGTACATTTAGTCAATTCTATGGGTAACTTGTCATGCATGATTATAGGATAATGTGGTTATACAGGTAATTATAGCTGTTGTTTCTTCAAAGTTTAGTTCACTGCTGGAGTTAAATGACTAGAGTTATCATCAAATAGCTTTTTGTATGGGCTTTTCTCTGTTTTCCAATTATTGGTTTTCTTTTGCAATGTGGTATAGAGAAAAGTTTGGCCAGGTTGGAGGACATGCAGTGGCTTTTCATCATAGAACTAACACTAAAACTTGAGCATATGTCATGATTTCCTTTAAGTAGATGCATAATGCAGGATTACAGAAGGGTATGAGAAAGATAAGCCTAACTTGGGGCTTAATGGGTTGGTCAAAAAATAGCATAGGAAGGACATGGGAGGAAGTAGAACTGTGGCTCAAGTGGTAGAGGGCCAACTTTGAGCAAAAAAAGTCAAGCAAGAGTATGAGACCCTAAGTTCCAACCCCAGTAACAGGACAACAATAAAAACAAAGAACATGAAGAAACTCCATGGAAATTCTGTCAAATAGACTCATAATATGACCCATGTGGTTTAAAGTTTTGTAAAAGAAGCAGTCTAAAAAGCTTTAAAAAAAGTGAAATTAATTCCAATACTA